ATGGAGAACAGCACAGGCCGCATCCTGCTTTGATGCTGGCAGAAAAGTCAGCCTCTGGGGCTTCAGTTGCTGAGCCGAGGGGAGGCCCAAGGTTGGGGACACTGTCCTAGGGGACTCTGCCCAAACGGCCTGGCTCTGAGAGTCCCTTACTCTTTAGAAAGTCTCAGCAGCATCAGGGACCTCATCAGGAAAAGAAATGGTGAACATTCATTGTTTATGGTGCTCTGTTGTCACAAGTGGACATCTTTTTGCTCTGCCTAAAAATGAATGGGCCAGCTCAGGAGGCCCAAGGTTGGGGACACTGTCCTAGGGGACTCTGCCCAAACGGCCTGGCTCTGAGAGTCCCTTACTCTTTAGAAAGTCTCAGCAGCATCAGGGACCTCATCAGGAAAAGAAATGGTGAACATTCATTGTTTATGGTGCTCTGTTGTCACAAGTGGACATCTTTTTGCTCTGCCTAAAAATGAATGGGCCAGCTCAGTTTTGCTGCCGTGGTCAGTTTCTTTATGGTGTCTGAGCTGAAAGAGAGGCCACTCTGGCCCCTGGCACTTACCAGAGAACTTGTTGTGCCACCTTCATTCATACCACCATCACCGCTGGGTGTAGACTATGGCTTTAAAATTCACTCTTGACTCCCCCCCACCCCCCAATACTTGACTCTGGTATTGATATGGAGGGTTTTGAATTGCTTGTACGTATACTTGTTTGTCTGTTTTATGTCTATGTTTGATGTTTTTATGTACTGCAGAGATTGTGTGGATCTAGGTTGTCCACTGCTCTGATAGGTCTAAGAACTGTAAATATGTATTTATTTATTTATTTGATTTGATTTATATACTGCCCATTTGGCATCCAAGGCCACTTTACAACAAATAACAAAAAACAACAGTGTAACAAAATAGCAAATAACAACATTAATACATAGGGGTGAAAATAAAAACAATTCATAAAGTGAAGCGAGGGTAAAATTATAATACAATAAAAAGTGTAAAAATATAAATAAAAATAAAGAATTGATTGATTATGAGGTGGTTTGTGAGAGCATCACCCTGTTGATCAAAGAAAAAAAATGATTTGAGTTTCTTGATATAGACTCCAAGATCAAATAGCCAGATTTCGTATGGCGATATTCAGGTCTCGGAAATTCCATGCAAACTAGATGCTAGATTTTAAATGGTCTTTTAATGTCAAATGTTTTTACAAGGTATTTGGAATTTTCGAAACTGTAAATGTCTATATGTTTTTCCCCTGTGTGATTGGTCTCAGGACTGTAACAATAAACTGTTGGCCACTTTTGACTCCCATTCTCAAAATGCTCTCCAGACAAACCTAGTAGCAGGGAGGGGACATTCTGAAGACCCTTCATTCATACAGTCACCATAAGCCGGTGATGACTTGATGGCCTGTAACCACTACCACTACCATTTCCCCTAAAGAACACCAAAGTCTTGAGTTTAGTGGAGCTGAGCATAGCTATTGAGAACAGGACATTTTGGAGATTGCTCGTTCATAGAGTCTTGATAAGTGAGAGATGATGGCATATAAGAACAACAAGTATTTTGTTTTAAAAAATTAGAGGTCTAATAAGCATATCATCTGCCCCTGCTTTTCACTTTCCCCGTATATCTAATATTATATTGATTGAAGAAGGACATAAGAAAATACCGGGTTATCTTCATAAATCCAAAATTCAATACACAAATCCAGTACACATCACACTGAAATAAAATTCTACAACCAAATTAATACATTGAATTGTTAAGAGATGTGCATGCTTACAGAAATCTATCAAATTAATATTCACCAGCATGGTCTCCCCCCCCTCCCTTCCTGCTGCCAGTCCCTGAAAGACTGCCTGTTACGAAATGAAACTTCCTTCACTTCCAAGTAAAAATTTAGACCTTTCTCAGACTGAACCCAATATAAGCAGGGAACTGAAGAAATAATTTAACTTTGTTTGCATGTCATAGTCAAAGAGATAATGCAGAATCTCACCGACAAGTTAAGAAATACAATATCTTTGAGTACTGTATATCAATTTATATTTAAAACCTGGGCTACAAGGATCACAAGAATGGCCAAGGAACTTTGCTGGAAACTCAGAAAGGTAAAAGCGTCCCTTTTGACAAAGCACTGAGATGCAGTCTTTTCTGTCTGAGTATTAACCTGGCAGAAGACTTCCATGTCTTTGGAGTTTTTTAAACTGTGCACGGTACCAAGTTATTTGGTTTTCTCGCATCAACCAGTTTATCTAAAATTATCTCCCTCGTTCCTTTTGTGTTTGTCTTGATTTCTACTTTGTATTTCTCTTTTGTTTTATTACACTGATTAAGGTGAGTGTCTGTGTCTCCTCCGAATCACAATCCTAAAGAAAACTCTCTCTTGCTGTTATTCGCCTTATGCTTTGACAGGAGTAGGAGAGGATTTTCAGCCATCATGTTAAAAGCACCTTTTCTATTCATCTGCGTTGTTAGTACCCATATGTGATTTTTCATATATTCTTGGATTTATTTTTTAAATTGTATTAAGATAGGTGCAGAAAGCTAGATTTCGAATCACATGTGGCTTTCAGGCACTTTTGAAGTTACTGTTTATTATACTTTTTATTTATTTAAAATATTTTTACCCTACCTTTCTCCTTAAGAAAAAAAAAACCAAGGCAGCTTACAGCATTAAAGACAATATTGAAAGCTGAAAACAGCAAACATACAGATACTAAAAAGGATCAAGCAAATGCCACATTAAAAGACAGTAAATAAAAGCAACACCAAAAACACATTTAAAGCAGTGAGGCATAACCATCCATTCTAAAGCCCCACTCAGTCAGTCAGTCATTAAGGGAAAACCTGCCTGAAGAGAAAGATCTTTGCTTTATTATCTGTAATCCTACTTGGTCTGGAACCAAATCAAGTAGTTGTTTCCAGGTGCCTTCAAGAAAGGTGGCACTAAGTGATGTATGAGGCACAATCTGCCAAAAATTAGAGGATGATGAGGAAAAAACAATCCCCTGTAATTTCTATTACTCTTGCACAGGACTTTTTGGTTGATTGTACCTCACAGTACTTGGCATATAGCAGGTTGGTAGGAGGAACCTTGGAGGTACATGAGATAGGAGAGAAACTTCTCCCGCCAATGAAAGAAACACACATGAACTGAAGCAGCCATGTTTGCCTGATTATCAAAGCTCTTTTCAAGGCAAGTGGACATAAATGCCCTGAGAAATTTCAGTCAAGACATTCCAGGGATCAGGTTGTACTGCAGGAATGGAACACAGGAGAGAACATAACAAGAAGATGTTTAGATTAAACGAGTATTATAGGAAAGAGTACAGTCTATACGGTGTCAGAAATTTGGAAAAACACCGTAAGAAAAAAGCTAGAGAGATACAAAGAACCATGTATTTAATTTATTTTATTTAAAATATTCTTATCCCACCTTTCTCCTTAAAAAGAACCCAAGGAAGCCAAATCTAAACATATGTGGAAGGGTGGAGAGAGAAGTGCCCTTTGTTCTAATGTTCAAGAAAATACAAGTAAGGGAGAGGAGAAGAGAGAAGAGAACAGGAAGAATCAAGAAGGCAGCTGCTGTTCCCAAACTCCATATATGCATCCAGAAGTCTGAACAGAGCATTTTCTGTCATAGGCATGTCATGATGGAGGCCAAGAAAGGTGCCTTCCCCTTAAATTTAGGGTTGCTCCATATATGCATCCAGAAGTCTGAACAGTGCCTTTTCTGTCATAGGCATGTCACGATGGAAGCCAAGAAAGGTGCCTTTCCCCTAAATTTAGGGTCGAGGTGACATCTCTCTCTCACTCACTCACCTTGTATGAAAAAGATCACAAGGTAGAGATCACAAAGCTGTTGAAAACAATGAAAATTTAAAATACTTAAAATGATTTAAAACGAACTAAAACAATTTAAGACCATTTATGTGCATGATAATGGAACACTGCAACCTAGTCAGGCCAATTGCACAGTGCATGTATGTATGTATGTATGTATGTATGCATGCATGCATGCATGCATGCATGCCTGCATGCCTGCCTGCCTGCCTGCCTGCCTGCCTGCCTGCCTGCCTGCCTTTTGCAAAATGTATTAATTGTGTACAGCAAGCCTTCACATGTGCAGGTGAATGCACAGAGGTTGGGAGCAGATATGGCAGAGGGTCATGCAAGAACCTTGACCGAAGAGGTGGGAAAAGGAACAGAGCCAAAACTGAGTTCCCACCATCCCAGTTCTTCCACCTGCCTTTGAAAAAGTGCTATCAGTGGAACTTTGAGGAACCATTTTGCCCTGATGGGATGGAAGAAGAAACAGACTGAGCTTGAGTTTAGAAGGAAAAAGAAGAGGGAGAGAAGAAACAGCAGATTGGAAGTGAGGGTTGGGAGTCATGAAGGAAAAGCTTAGGAAAGAACAATACGTACTACATCAAAAAGAGAACAGTCGTGGTGCAAAACTGTTCCTAAAGAGGAATGAAACCAGACTCAGAATAATGGGTTATTAGACTAATCACCATTATCATCCAGGGATGCTCTTATTATTTATTTCCATGAGTCACTTTGTGAAAGAGGGGAAATAGGAGGCCCTTTTCCTCCTGATCATCTACCTGCTCCTTGAATGTCTCAAAAGGACAAGAGAAATTAGAGGAAAAGAAATAAAACTGACAAAGAAGATAGAAACTAACTTTAAATAAACAAAACCAGTTAAAGATGAATGGCCTCATTAACAGGCTACTGCTACCATATTTTTGGCGACTTTTGCGACAAGAAAACCAAAGGGCGTTTAGAGGAAAAGACTTTTATTGTCTCTGATGGAAGGAATAGCTTCCATAAGTAAAACAGAACATTTTTTTCCGCCTCTCCAGAAAATAACCCGTATTAAAATGATAGCAAGTTGGGAATAGAGGGAATGTGTCAGGTTATCATGTAAACTAGTCGAAATATCCTACTATTGTTGAATTAAAGGACAGAATTTTTTAAAAAGTTAAATGTCATCTTTACCTTTTTCTCTCTGTGTCACGTTTTTCTTCTCTGTCTTTTCCTCACCAGATGTTAACTGTTCTATGAGTAACAGCAACTGAGGAAAGAAAAGGGGAAGGGCCTTCCTCTTGTACCTGAAATACTGAGACTTTGCAATAGTCGGTCGTATTCAGAAAGCCAATGAGCCTTTCTAGTCTCTCTTCCTGTCACATCAGGAACAGTGGAAAGAAGTTCTCTTTGGTATGGACTTCAGAGACATGCCAAAGACATGGACACTACAGGACACGCCATATTTGGTAACTCTGGAGTTTAAATTGCCTTTGATTTGAGGGATGCCACATACGAAACAGCAAACAGAATTTCTCGTGAGTCTTTCCAATGAATTCACATTGCCTCATTGTGTTTCCTCACACACGCACACACATACATAAATTATTTTTCTTCTCTAGAATTCAGAAGGGCCAGAAATCACTTGAGTCTGTTAGATGTGCTAGTCCATAAAGGTATATATTTTATGGACACTTTGGGTGCAGCATAAATGACTTGTGAAGGGAGGGGGGAGTATCCCATCCCCAAAAATTTCTGGTGGTGTGCTATCCTGCTTGGTTCATGAACTATCCTTTGGGTACACAGAAACAACTGTAAACAACAGGGTCAGAATGCCATAAATTATTGTAGCTACAAACAGGTCTCTGACTTTTCTATGGCAAGTTCAAACAAAAACACGGTAAGATTGGACTGACTGTTCTAGAGCAGGGTAGGACAATAACGTTATGAAAAGTTGACAACAGCAGGAAAAGAGGAAGATGAAATGGTAAGATTGGACTGACTGTTCTAGAGCAGGGGAGGACAATCATGTTATGAAAAGTTGACAACAGCGGGAAAAGAGGAAGATGAAACAAGATGGATAGACTCCATAAAGGAAGCCACAACATTAAGCTTACAGAAACAGAGCAGGGCAGTTGTGCACAGGACATTTTGGGGGTCACTCATTCACAGAGTCACCATAAATTGGAAGAGACTTGATGGCAGGTTACAACAATATCCTCCCAGGGTTAATTTTTCTATGCTGCATCTCTAATGCCAAGGACGTAACAGGAACTAGTTGTTAATTCGTCATAATGTGAATCATCACAAGAGGAAAAGAGGGCTTTCAATCTAGGGTTACGTAAGTTACTCGTAAGTGTCATCTTTGCTACTAAAAATAATGCATTTCACACCTGTGTGGACATTTTCCTTCTTATTTCACAACTCAAATTAAATGGATTTTTTGGTAGTGGGACCCTCTCCATTTGTCCCAGGGTATTTCACAACTCAAATTAAATGGATTTTTGGTAGTGGGACTCATAAAACCCTCTCCATTTGTCCCAGGTCCCAGTTTGTATTTGTTACTTCTAATCCATATATATACTGTATGTAAACGAACAAATTAGCGTGTAGCTATAGAGAGTCGTCTTGGCCTATGTACAGCCTATTCATTTATGGCCTCTTTGGAGGATAGCAAAAATATGTAATCCAGCACATAATCCCTTTTACAATGATATTATCTTTCACAAATGATACATGTATTTTTGTTTGTGTTGTTTTACGAAGATAAGATGGAAGGTTTTTGTATTATATTTGTATATTTTATATACATGCACACTGACATACATTTTTCATTCAGTTCAGCAAAAAACATATTATCACACTTTTGGACATGAAGCCATATAAATAATCATGGTCATGTGCATTTTTGTTAAACCTTCAAATGTAAATTCCCTTTTGGATTTTACACCTTTTCACGCTCCAGAAGTATGTAGGGATGTATTTTATGGACAACATGTTCAGCTTAAAAGAAATACACAATTCACAAGATGTGGATTATCCTGGAAACAACAGTAGGTTCAGACATCAGAAAAGAGTGACTGAGGGTTTATATCAAGAGTTCTTTTAACGGGCTTTTGAGTACTGTAGTCCCTTTTTATTTTCCTCTTATTACAATAATTCATCAACACTGGCACGTAGACAGATGTACTTCTGACAGTAGAGATCGTATAGGATTTTTGCCAGACAAATAGTCCTAGGCCTTATTTAGCCCATTCAGCTACTAGTTTTCCCATTACCCAAGGGCCGACGGATGTGGGAGCATTTAAAGAGTGATGGGTGCTCAAGCGTGTTCTCTTTTCTTCCAGACTAAAGACTTTTGAGCCCCCTCTAGCTCATCACATTTTTACTTTGAGTAAACTCCTCAGTGCACCATTAGCTGAGCATTTTATGGACCATTTGCATTATGATTGGGGATTCTAGTTGGTTGTTACTGGCACCTTTATTATTTTATTTATTTTATTACTTATTGCATTTTTATGCTGCTTTTCTGCCACTAAAATATAACCAGGAAGATCAGGACAAACTGTTACATAAGGAAGTCAAATGGATTTACTGGCTGAATTGTGTAATCCCTAATCAGTTTACTGCACGTTTGGACTCCAGTAGTTTATCCACTCATAGAGTGATTAACTGAAGACATTTACATTCAGCCCTATATGCTACTATCTCAGGGTAGAGTATAACAATAGAAACAGTATAAAACAATTTGATATTTTAAAATAATTTAAAATATTTAGAACTACACAATACATTCAAACCAGCAATAACAAAGAAGCCCCAATGGCCTATTAAATCCATTATCCTTAATCACCATTGCTCTTGATGAATAACCATATCTTAACCTAGTGCTGCAATGATGGTTGTGCCAGCTCCAGTCAAGCCTCTAAGGGGAGACTGTACCATTAACGAGGTGCTATGTCTGAGAAAGCCCTCCCTCGTCTCTTTGCGTGGTGCATTGTTCTCCAGGATGGGGCATGGAGGAGCTCCCCTCGAAGTAGATTTCAATGATCAACTAGGTGTTTATTTCTGTGAAGATTCTCAGTCATCCAGGTGAGGTGATCTGGAAGTTGAGCCATGGCAACTGGACTTCTTTCTTATTAGGTTGAAACAGTTCGCTACTCATCCAAGTAGCTTCTTCACTCTGAAACTGGAAGAAGACAACACCCTCTCCAGCAGAAGTAGCCTTAACTTGGACCAAATATGCCTGGACCAGTGTCTGAGCACCACTTACTGCACCTACAGAGGTTACTTTTACAGACAGAAACGTGACTGTGCCATGGGTTCCCGGGTGTCGCCCATTGTTGGCAACTTATACATGGAAGAAGTGGGAAAGAAGGCACTAAACAGCTTCGAGGGGACGACTCCAACCCATTGCTTCAGGTATGTGGATGATACCTGGCTGAAGATCAAGATTCAGAAATTACAGGCTTTCACAGACCACATAAATGCAGTGGCTCCAAACATCACATTCACCAGGGAAGACACCAAAGACAACCGGCTGCCTTTCCTGGGCTGTGCAATCATCATAGGATCCAATGGCAGTTTAGGAATAGAAATCTACAGAAAACCTACATACAAATACATGCGATTTGACTCTCATCACCCATTGCAACACAAACTAGGGGTCATCAGGACATTAAACCACAGAGCAAGAAACATCCCCACCTCTACAAGAGCCAAGAAGAAGGAAGATGGACACCTGAAGACAGCCCTTAAGGCCTGTGGATCTCCAAAATGGGCCTTTAACAAGGCAGTGTCCCAACCCGACAATGGAACAGTGCAAGACTCAGAGCTGATGGAAGAACCTGGTCATTCCTTCCATGGTGGGTGTGTCTGAAAAGCTCAAAAAGACGGGACACCAAAACACAACAGGAACAATATAGTATATGCAGTGGCCCAGTGCATAGAGGAGTGTTCAGAGCTCTACATTGGAGAAACCAAACAGCCATGAAACAGGAGAATGGCCCAGCACAGGAGGGGCAATGGTTCAGAACAACAATCAGCAGTGTCCCTTCATTTGAAGGACAAAGGACACTCATTTGATGACCAAGATGTTGTTATTTTTAGACTGAGAAGATAGGTGGTTTGAGAGAGGGGTCAGGGAGGCCATACATGTGGCCTCACTCAACAGGGGGGAGGCCTTAGATATAATCTGCCTCCCATTTATCATGCCGCCCTTTCATCTGTCCCCAGAAAGATCAGGACCACACACACCAGAAAGACCAATGTTAACGACTGCTAACAACCCATGACAATGGGTGGAGAAGGACTGCAAAAGTGGGATTATCCCTCACCCCCAGTCCTTTGTCCTTCTGATGAGCCTATTCAGACGAGGGGGAAGTGAAACCAACATGGAGGATATATCAGGGATCTTCTACCAACTCTCCTCAGACTGAAGAAGCTACCTGGATGAGTAGCGAAACAATTCAACCTAACCAGAAAGAAGTCCAGTTGCCATGATGAGTGAATTTCCAAGTGTTTATTGTTGTTAAGCGAAACTTTTCAACCTAACCAGAAAGAATCCAGTTGCCATGATGAGTAAATTTCCAGGTGTTGTCAAGTCACCCCCAACATACAGCAACCCTATGAATAATCAGTCTCCAAAATGTCATGTCCTTGACTGCCCTGCTCAACTCTTTTAAACTCCAGTCTGTGGCTTCCTTTAGGTGTTTTTAGGGAGAGTCCCAAGCCAATTAGGGCTTTGTACGTTGTCATGAATACTTTGAATTTGGATTGTAAGCGTATTGGCAGCCAGTGCTATTTCTTCAGAACCTGTAGCTGAGGTTCTTTTAAAGAGAGTTGAAGGGGCTGTTAAGAACCTGACAGTGTTAAATCATCTGCCTGTTGAATTATGCAGTTCAGCTTTCTTTAAGGAAACTACAAAAAGCTATTAACAGTCTCTGAGATTCAACTGACAGGATCTGGATGTCTTCAAAGTCAAATGAGCCATTTAGTCTAGAGAGGTTTGTAGTGTTGGTTGTTTGGTTTCTTTTTAGATAGGTTTGGCTTTCTGTAATTTTTTAAATTCAGAAGTAAAAGTCTGTTCAGTGTTTACCAGTTCCTTGGTCTAGAAATATATGTTTGTTCTTGTAGCCATCAGAGGCAGTAAATGTTATGTGAATACCTCCCTTAGTAATCTAATTAGATTTGGTAGAAACGCTATGTATTATTTGTAGCTTAATTTTTTTCTGGAGAATATTTTTGCAGTTTTTAGAATTACTTAAGAAGTTATAATATGGAGAAGGATTTTGAATCGGGAGCTTCTGTGTGGCTGGCTGAATGCTTTTATAAAAGGCAGGGGGAAACAGTTACCTTAACCTGTGATCTTCC